CAATAATGAGTACAGATTTCAGATTCTCTGCATTTTCCAGGTGGAAAAACTGAGACAGAGAAATGTTAAGGTTAGAATATGCCTTACCTAACTTTTAAAGTCTCAGAGTGAGATCCCTGAGCTAGTAATTTCAGACCACCTTTATATTCATAAAGCAGCTGCAGAAGGCAATTATTTAACCTACCTTATGGTAAGATTGTCTTCCCTCACTTTTATTAATTATAAAAATCTCTTATCATCAGAGTGTAAATATACACCTATACTGTGTGTAGATAAAATATCATAAAAGCAAGTGTGTGACTGAAATGGTATTTTATATTCCTTGACAGTATTTCAAAGTAGGCATTTTCTCATCTTAAGTTTTTTTATTAAATTTTACCCACCACCGTTCCTTGGGTGCAAAAGTATATTTCTGAAATACATCTTAAATTCTGTGTAGTTTAATCCACTAGGATAAAGACAGGTCAAGTTATAAAGTTGGTGGGATATTTTTAGATATTATTATTGTCATTAGAAAGGAACAGAAATGTTGATAGGTGCCCTGTAGAAGATGTGGAGAAAGCCAAGTGCTTGCATGAAAGCACCTGCACTATAAATGATAATAAGTACTGTGGGATTCACCTGCACTGGAAAATTAAGCATACTGAGGAACACACTCTAGCATGGAGGGAGAATGTCATAAAGAGTCTACATATATATTGTTAAGGTCATTTACTCTCCAAATTGACCAATAATATTTAAATTCACAAATTCTTCAGAGGGAATGCTTGGGACAGTTATTTGCCAATGGTCAACACCACATCAGGGAAAATTCGAGCTGTGCCAGTATAGATTTCACATGATTGATCCTGAATTAGCAGTAGTATATTAATTAAAAAGCAAAGTTAAAATACAAGCAGAATTTTGGAAGAATTTGCCTTAGCAAATTGTTCTTATATCTTTGCACTATTAATTTAAATTCTTAAATTACATCTCCAACACAGTATTATTGTTAGAGATATCCTTCTTGGAGATGAGGAACTGAACACTGAAGAGGGGTTATAGCATGTTGTCTCAATTATAACTTAAGAATCCTAAGAATCTTATAGTTTCCTCTAACTCTGTAACTTTGTAACCATTACCTAAACATTGTTAAGAGATAGGGAGCAAAAGAATTAGAGAGGTCAGCAACCTATGCAGCTGTGGCCTGAATTAGTTTCATGATTGATACACTCCAGAAAGCTGAATCAATAGAGAATTGTTTAGATACGTTGGATTATCTTTAACCAAAGATAGATGATGAGGTCTGGTAACAATATCTGAAACCATTAAATCAGCAACTGTGAATTGCACATGTGCAAGAGACTGACAACTGTCATCTAGAGGAAGACCTTCATAAAAGCCCACCGGTGAAGTAAGGAACACCTAAAAGTCTTGAAGTACTGGATAAAGGACACTAGATGGCAGTCTTGCTCCATGGAAAACATAAGGACAAAAATTCTGAAAATACTTATTGATTAATGGACAAGGGGATGGTTACAAGCTCTTCAGAAAGAACAGGCAGGGTAGGAGAGGTGGAGGGGTGGCTTTATATGTTAGAGAGTCTCTCGACTCTGTTGAACTTGAGATCAGCAGCAATAGGGTTGAGTGCCTGTGGACCAGAATCAGGGGGGAAGACCAACAAGGCCGACATCATCATAGGTGTCTGTTACAGACCGCCCTACCAGGATGACGAAGGGGATGAATTATTCTACAAGCAGTTGGCGGATGTCTCGAAATCGTCAGCCCTTGTCCTTGTGGGTGACTTTAACCTGCCGGATATCTGCTGGGAGCTCAATACTGCAGAGAAGAGGCAGTCTAGGAATTTCCTGGAGTGTACAGAGGACAATTTCCTTCATCAACTGGTAAATGAACCTACCAGGGGTAAGGCCCCGCTAGACCTGCTGTTTACAAACAGAGAGGGGTTGATGGGAGATGTAGTGGTTGAAGGCCGCCTGGGAAATAGTGACCATGAAATAATAAAATTTTCAATACTCAGAGATTCAAGGAGAAACAACAATAAAACCTCTACGCTGGACTTCCGGAGGGCAGATTTTGACCTATTCAGAAGTCTAGTCCAGAGCATACCCTGGGAAACAACCCTTGAAAACAAGGGGGTCCAGGAGGGATGGATGTGCTTCAAGCAGGAAGTTTTGAGTGCACAGGAACAGGCCGTACTGGTGTGCCGAAAGGCAAGCCGGCGGGGAAGACAACCAGTTTGGTTAAACAGGGAGATTCTGAAGGAAATCAGGGATAAAAAGAGAGTTTACCGACTATGGAAGAAAGGGTTGACTACTTACCAAGAATTCAGGAAGACAGCTAGATCATGCAGAAAGAAAATCAGGGATACAAAAGCGCAATTTGAAGTTAAATTAGCCACTTCTGTTCGGGATAACAAAAAGTCCTTCTATAAATACATTAATAACAAAAGGGGGGGCAAAGAAAACCTCCATTCTTTGAGGGACTTGGAGGGAAACATAGTTAATAGAGATGAGGAGAAGGCTGAGGTACTTAACACCTACTTTGCCTCAGTTTTTACCAGTAAGACAGGTGGCCCTCAAGGCAACTGGCCTCTGGAGCTGGTAGACAGAGATAGGAAACCAAATAGTCCCCTTGTATTCCAGGAGGAAATAGTTAGTGACTTACTGAGTCATCTGGATCCTCACAAGTCTATGGGACCAGACAGGATCCATCCTAGGGTAATGAGGGAGCTGGCAGAAGAGCTTGCCAAGCCGCTCTCTAAAATGAGAAGATGCAAAAACGAGCTCGAGAGTCAGAGACACATCCTCATAGAGGTACAGTCAATGCTCTAACTTTATTCCAAAAATACACACATTATCAAGGGTCCTACAGGGTTCACACGCTCTATTCTAACTTTCTATTGGTTACATTTACTTTCACACACTATATCTATAACTTTATTGGCTCTACTAGCCAAGGTACATTTCCAGGCCCCCCATCTTCTGGTTTCTCACACTCTGGATAACAACCTCCTTCCTTGTTTTCCTCTATACAGTTTTCTGATATCTACTGCTCAAGGACACACATCTGCTGCTGGAGAACACAGGTCCCTGCCATCCAGCACGCAGGCCGGATTGTGCAAGCAGGCCTGAAGCAGTATATGTCCTGCATCATCTAAGATTCTTTCAACAATTCCCCCTTTTTCTTTTGCACAATCCAGGCCTGACTGATGGTCTTTCGCTTGGTTCAACTCTTTGTTCCATGTGGTTCTTGAAAACTTTTATTTTGCAAATGAAACTTTATTTAACTCAGGGTTATGTGTCTCCCACTCTTTATCCAAAGGTGCTTATGCATATGTGAGGTAATATGGTTTACGCATTTGTGAGTAAAACCAGAATATATTAATAATCATATATTCATACATTCACATGCATACATTCACACAACTTTCATGCGTGATGACCATCACTTCATGCTCTCACACAAACATACTTTTGAGTTGTATTTTACTGTGTTTTCTGGTTGTGGACTGAGAAATTATCATTCTTGTGTTTTGCCCTCAGATGAGTAAGATCTAATTATGTATTTCTTGTTTTTATGAGAGTATAACTTGGAAAACAAGAAAACATAAACATATTTCTGCCTCACATTCAATTCAAAACCCAAATACATATAAACATTCTTATAATTTAAAGAAAAATATATACTCCTATTTTTACAGCAAAACACACACTTCTCTATGTAAATGGGCTTTTGGACTTCAAAGAGAACTTGTCAGTAGTCACTACAAAAACTTCAAAAGCTTCACTTCTCCACCACGTTTAAAACAATTCTGGCTATTTAGGCAAGCAACCTCAAGAAACAGTCAGCAAGACCACCTCATGAACTTATCTTTCCTCACTCCCCCCCCCCTTTTTTTTTTTTCTATACTGAAATTAAACTGTTAGGCTAGTTGTTGCATGAAT